AAAATCGTTCCCCCTACACGTTAATCTCCCCCACTGGATTAGATTCTTTGATTAAAAAATGATAGTGGTGGTGATAAACAGGAGGATGGTGAGGAGGAGGAGGAGGATAGTGAGGACGACGGTGAGGAGGAAGATGGTGAGGATGATGATGGTGAGGGGGAGGATGGTGAGCATGATGATGGTGAGGGGGAGGATGGTGAGGAGAATGGTGAAGAGGAGGAGGGTGGTGAGGAGAATGGTGAGGAGGAGGAGGGTGAGGAGGAGGAGGAGGATAGTGAGGAGGATGGTGAGGAGGAGGAGGGTGAGGACGAGGATGGTGAGGAGGAGGAGGATAGTGAGAAGGACGGTGAGGAGGATGGTGAAGAGGAGGAGGGTGGTGAGAAGGAAGAGGGTGGTGAGGAGGAGGAGGACGGCAACAGCAAGCATGTATTCTGCACTTATTAGATGCCAGACATGACACAGCTCTTCACACACACCTCACTGAAACCCCACAAAAACTTCAGAAGCTTTATTAACTTTTCATCCCCATTTCTTCATCATGGAAACTGAGGCTGAGAGGGGTTCACCGATCCACAGTCACAACACGGAGAAGTGGCAGAGCTAAGGTGTGAACTCAGGTCTGTCTGATTTAAAATTGTGTCCTTAACCATGTATCCTTATCCACTCATATGAATCTTGTTTCAGTATCATCTTTAGTTAGCTACAGCTTGCATAATGAAGCACACGAAAAGTGAGAGATTTTTCTAAGCTTCTGTTTGTGTTTGCTGGGTCGCACAAGGTGGCAGGAGACAGCCAGCCCTAAAAAATGACTGGCAGATAACCCACTACACAAGTTGGTGACCATGACCTGATGCATGAAATTCAGATAGAAAAAATAATGCAAAATGAAGATTAAACATAAATGCATAATTGTCTCATATTGGATATAAAAATACACCTATATGTTAAAAAATTTAATAAAAGTTTAAAAATACAAAATCATTGTCATTTCGCCCTAATGACCTACAAGGAAGGCATTACTGTCAAAGTGCAGACAAGAGAACGAGGCTCAGAGAAGTAACTGGCCCAGAACAAACAGTTCAATTCAGAAGGGCAGATACTCAACAAATATTAAATAAATGAACGGAGTTAAAGAAACTTCAGTACAAATTTTTCAATTCCTATGCACTCGATCTAATATTTCAGCTAAAATTACAGAAAGCAGAATCAGGGCTTTGTTCAAAGTTCCCCATGGCTCTGTACTGGTGCTGACCTAACGCCTGGGCCCAGGTGAGTTAGGAGACAAGAGAAGCAAAAGGAAGCAGCAGTTTCCACACCGCTGACAAAGCTTTGGCTACCACTGTTTGCTTCCTCACACAACGGATTTGACTTATACATGCCAATGCAAATCACTGTCAGCACTATAGTTCTCCCCAGCAAAATCAACAGAGCACAATGTCCAACAGCCGTAAGCCAGATTACCCCAAAACTTTCCTCCAAAAAATGTTTTAATTCAATGTTTTTGAAATATTTTTTCCTTAGGGCATAATAAACTCTATAATGTAAGTTAGGTGCATGACCCTGAACTAGTTATATAGCTCCCTAGCCTCCATTTCTTTACCTGTAGAAAGACAACAACAAAGCAACTTCCCAAGGCGGCCACCAAGACTAAAGGAGGTAATGTGTGAAAAAGCACCTTGCAGCAATGCCAGGCACACCTTAGGCACAAAACGAAAATTGATCTTGGTTTTCTGAAAATGCTGGCTAGAGAGGATGCCTCTTAAAACATCAGCGATGTGGAAGACTAATAGCAGCACAGGAATATCAAAGCAACGCAAGCTTGATGATGGATCAAGACTGACACTGGCTCAGATGAAGCCCCCCGTGCCGATGCAGAGGGTGAGTGGGCTATACGGAGCGCCATCTAGTGGAAGAAGAGCAGAGCACGGGGCGCCAAGTAACTGACGGAGCTGGAGAACAAGGGAAAAGGACAGGGTGGAAACCGTCCCCTCTCCCCTCCATTACAATTTCTCCGTGGGCGCGTGAACCAACAGTGACCCCAAGTGTAAGATTCACATCAAAAAGAGAGATCAAAAAGGGTGCTCTCACACACTCACAACTCTTTATCACACCAAGGAAGAACATCAATAATATGCCAAGAACACCTTTTAAAGTTCTTAAAATAGCAGCAGGGGCTGATTGGTGAAAAATTATGGAAATGCAAAAAATTATGGAAATTTACAGCTTACCAATTCAGAGCAAGATACCCTGTGCCTGTGGAGAGTGGCTGCTGAGTGTCCAGACATGTTTTAAGATGTGCAGTCATAAATCTGTTTATGGAAGCCTCATTTGTTAATGGAAGCCTCAGGTGCTGCATCTTGAATAGCATAATAAAAACCAGTCAGAGCTGCTGCTAATTTTGTACATGATATTAATGAAAGAGGCTTCCTAAAGAATGAGTTTCCCCTTCAGTATCTCCAGGATTGGAAAACTAAAATTATTTTAATAACATAAAATTACCCTGAGGAAGGAGACTGGATGATTTATGCACTGAGTTATTATTATATACTTTACGTCTGGAAAGTGATGCCTGTATACACACATCTGTCTCAGGCAATTCTGTGGAACGAGCAGGTAATGTTTGTTCAGGACACGGTGCTTACACCCCATCTAAAATGGCCACCCCACAGAGGAGGTATAAGGTCTCCAATGTCACAGATGAGACACCGCAGCTCTGGGAAGCTAAGGAACTGGTACAGGGTTACAGACTAGACAGTCATCACCTGCCAGAATCACGTGACTCCTCTGGCGGCTCTTCCCTGTGAAGCAGCGCCGTTTGCCACGTAAAGGCATCCACCAGACCTTCCAGGCCGCCTGTGGCCACACAGCTCCTGCCCCGCACGGTCAGCGCTGCTCACAGCGCCAGGCCAGTACCAGGCAGCTCACCTGAGGAGCTGCATGGCCGAGGTTCTCCCAGGAAAGGCAGCTTGAAAGCCCAGCCCCAAGGAAGGCTCCCGCCTCTGCTGGGGCGCACAGGCAAGCTGTGGGGCACCGCGCTCTGGAGGGGCGGATGAAGGTCTGAATCCTGGCTTACCACTTATCGGCTGTCTGACATTACGCAAATTATTTAACCTCCCTGTCCTCAGCTTCCTCGTCTACAATATAAGGAAAAATGAGTTACTCTTTCAAGACTGTTAAGAAAATTAAATGAAATCATGTACATAAAGCATCTAACCCAAAAAGGTTCTTGATAAGCAGTAACTAGTATTATTAACGATTGCAATCAAGTATATTCAAACATACCCCACCTCCTTCACAGAGCCAAAATCATTATCTGTGGGACTATGTTCAAGTATGTTCTTGGTATTTTTTTTTTCTTTTATGAGCCTGTTTTTAAAAGATGGGGAATTTTTAAAACATACCATAAACTGCCTCTAAATCCCTGATATCACACCAACTGTTTCTGAGATAGAGTATTTAAACATGAAGAGCTCTGTCTCTAAGAGACAGACAGAGCTTCATCAAGAATTGACTTATTTCAATACAGAACGGTTTCCTACTTTATCCGTGATTACTGGAATACACATAAGTAAAACTCCTTACCTTGAATGCTTACTAAAGATTGAAAAGTACTGCTGGAGAACATAGGGGGAAAAGGAACTTGTCTTTTTGGTAAAGCACATTTTGGGAAACCTTAAAAATTCATCATCACAAAGGGAACTTCCTAACTGGCTTCCACTGTAATGAAACCCTTATTTAAAAACACACAACAATGTTGGGTTCTGTCTTTGAGACTCTTTTCCTAAAGTATCCTATCAAAACACAGGATGGCTTGGTTTAGAAGCTCAGCCTGAGGACTGTGCACCCTTTAGAGCCTCAGATGCCTCATCTGAAAAGACAAAGGACACAGGCAGGGGATGAAATCAGCTACCTTGCGAGATCTTGTGGGGCTGGAGACAATGCACAGTAAGCACTGGGCACCCGGCCCTGCATTCGGCAGCTTTTATTATGATCATTATCCCAAAGCCACGGAACACTCGACTTGTTTTTTGGTAAAACACATAAGCCATTCTATGTCCACTCAGGGGGAATGAATGACGACAAGCAAGCGGTCCTGTGACATCCACACTGCTGCTGGCGTTCCATCCACAACCACCACTGCTCCTGGGCTTTGGGGGTCTCTGTGGCATCTGAGAGTGAAGATTAACCCCTTCAGGTGAGGCTTATTCAGCAAGTGACAAAAGTCACCCACCTTCTGGTTTAAATCTGTCATGAGAAATCTCATTAGTTTAGGCAAGGAGAGCTAACAATGTTAGAGTGCACTGCCTAATAAGTTTCCCAAGAAAGAATAAAAGTAAATAACCATCAGATTCCAAGCAGATCTGATAACATCTCCTCACCTTCTGAGAAGGACCCCTACAGCCCACCCCATGGAGTGAGCCCTGGGATGCTCTCCTGCTCGTTCAACACTGCGACTCACTTAGAACCCCCTTCCGTGTCTGCCTGCACACCTGTTGGGGACTTCCTCCTACCCCTACTCAAGCTCTCTAAAGTGGGAGAAAGCAAAGCCCTCAAGGACAGCCAAACTCCAAATACTCTCTCATTCTTCTGCCTTTCTGAGAATTAAAACAACACCGAAACGAAGACTGGAGTTTACAGGGGCTACAGACCAAGAACTATATGAGATTCTGAAGACACAAAGATAGGTAAGACCAAGCCTTACCTCCGGAACAGCTCACACTCTCCAGGGAAGACAGAGATCCAAATACCACATTGTGATGACTATCACCCCATCACAGAGTTAGGCACCGCCTGCTTCAGGACCAGAAAACAGGCACTGTTGCCCATGGAGGGAAGGAGGTGGTCAGACAAGATATCTACAGCAGAAACTTGGAGGATAAAGTATCAACATAACAATGGATGCTATGCAACCCATCTTTCAATTCCAGCACAAGCTAGACAGAAAAGAACAGACTGCACATAAAAGGCCAGAGTGGTAATCCCCCTCTGTCATTAACTACCTGTATCATCGCGGTTTGACCCTTGGCAGGTCCAGAGGTCCGCGTGATGTGGAAAACAACCAAGCTCGCGCGTCCCCTCGGGCATTCCGTCAGTGCTTCACTCTGGGGAAGTCACTGCTGGGATCTCCGTTTCCACAAGTGATGCGTTGGGTTAAAGTCTCTACATTTCGGGCTGCTCCCAGTATTGAGATTACAGACACAGCTGGGTGTGGAGAAGTACCTCGTAAACGTTTCTAGAACAAGAGCTAAATCTAAACCACCCTGTCACGAAATAGTTCAAAAGGATAGTTGAAGGCTAATAAGACATTCCTCTGGAAAGGAGAGGGTATCTAAACACTTAAAGCCCACTCTCAATCTGATGCAGAAGAAAGCAGAAATTCCTCAAGAGTAGAGGCTGAAATTTTTCCCTCTCTCAGTCCAGGATCAGCAAAAACGCCCTGCGAGGTAGGTTCTCAATAAACCTGCTACTAGTGTCTGGATACCAAAACACCGTAACTGACAATCACTGTAACCTTCTGAGTCATAACACTATAGAAAATGATTTATCTAAAAAATGTGAGTCAAAGAATAAATATGTGAGTCATTACATCCACTTTCTTACAAAAAACAAAACCTGATAAGCCTAAGAAAAACTACTAAAAACTAAATAACCACACTCTTGCCTGGACGAAGTGGGGAAGTGTACGCTATGGCGTGAAGGCACCACAGCTAAATGGAATTCTACAACCTTCACTCTCATTCTTCTACTTTACACGCTTGACAACACACAAGCAATCAAAACATTTTCCGGAAAGGGTCCCCCAAAGTGAAACTCTTAAGCCATCGAGCTTTGTTGTGCAAAGAGAAGCACATAATGCAAAATAATGATCCTTCCTTCATATATGTTTACCCCACATATATATCCTAAGTAATGCTAAGAATCTCATTATTAAGAGAAACTGATGTAATATGAAAAACACTTATTTTGAAACACCAAGAAAGAAATTTATCTGGACACTAGCGCATGCGTGCATGCTAAGTCGCTTCAGTTGTGTCCGACTCTGTGCGACCCTATGGATGGTAGCCCACCAGGCTTCTCTACCCATGGGATTCTCTAGGCAAGAATACAGGAGTGGGTTGCCATTTCCTTCTCCACTGGACACTAATAGACCATCATAACCTGGAATCCTCTGCTCCACTTCCTCTTGTAATCAACCACTAAATATAACTTGACACTAAAGATAACCAGCCACCAATCCATATATTATATCAGATAATCAAAAATACAGGTTATGTAATCTTATTTAATGGTTACTTGGCTTGGACTGAAAACCATCCAATGCAAGACCAGAGAACTGGATTAAATTATAATGCGTAAGACATTTCTGAAGATGTTTTTAGTAAGAGTCAGCACATCCCCTAGTAGCAAATATAATATAAAACATGGAATGCTACTTGCATCTCCAATTAACCTCCTTGGCAAGAAACTGCAATGTCAACTCACTCTACAGGCAATGGAGGTGGGGATTTTAAAAAGTTTATTTTATTTGATTCAGTTTTAACATCAGGTAAACATCATGCATTACTTTTGGCAGAGAAACAAGAACATTCAATATTTGAGGGGGTTGGGGGGAGGAAAATTTATCCTGAGAAAATTGCAATAAAAGCCAAGAACTAATGCCCACTAGGAAGAATAAGCCTGGAAAAAATGTAAAAGCTGACCTACGTTAGCACAGAAGCATATATCTTGTGATTCCAGCTCAAGTTCTTACTTGAATATAATTAGGGAAAAAAGGTAATTCAGCTATCAGTGTTTACAAATGCCGAATTTTTTAAAAATGGCCACACCTCATTTATCAACTGTTTCACTATCACAGTGTGTTGATTACTAAAATCATATATTGGTCCCCAAAGGGCTTTAATTCAAAAATGCCTCTTGACCTGAGCACTAGAATCCTGTAGGATAAATCTACCACAAAAGCTTGTTTCTTCAAAGAAGACTACTAGACAAGAACAGAAACAAGCGTTTTTAGAAAATCAACAGGAAGTCACCAGGAAACAAGCATAGTAGTTCTACTGACTTCGGCAGGTTTTAAATGCCCATCTGTGAAGTGTTTCAGTGCCATCTTTTGGAGGAAGTCTGAGTGTGGAGAACAATGGCCTTACGAGACCAAAGATCTGAGTTCAGATTCACCTATCTCAGTCACCTACCAGCTGCCTCCCCTGAGAAATATAGACATCAGCATCTGCCTCACCAGGACCTGGGTGTGAAAACACAAGGAGACAGCTGTGCCTCAAATGCCTGGGGATCTGCAGGACACTGTGTAAACTAAGGTGCTGACAGCATTTGGTGATGTTAACCATCACGTCTACTTATCACACGTCACTCCATCATAAAATAAAGGTGTGACCCACTACCATTTACAAGTTAGTGCCTGAATACCCATCCTAGTATCAAGATTCATCTGAAAAACAGATGCCTCCCTTTAGAGGGAAACAATCAAAAATACAGATTAAAAAAAGAAAATAAAAACGCTCTTGGTAGCCAATCACAAGATGATTATCAGATTTAAAATCAAAGCTTCATAATAATCAATTCAGATTTAAGACACCATGTTTCAGAAATGCGACTTGTAATTCTGGAATTACGTAACAGAGCATAATTAATATTTTAAATGATAGAGCTTTGCATTCCAGATACCAGCCTGTGATTTAAGGGGAAAACATTTCAGTCTGAAGAAATCTAAATTAACAGTAATAAGAACATCGCGGAATAAGTTCCTTCCCTAACTGTTCAATGTGAGAAATGTAATTCTTCTCTTGCAAGAATTACATTTTTGATAAAAAAAAAGTAAGGTAATCAGGTTTAACACTATTAAAAAAAAAAAAAAACACTAAATGGCAACATTGCCCAAGATCTGTTTCAAATAATTGGAAGCAATTATCACAGGTAAAAACACAGAAACCAAAAGAATTCTAAATGTGTTAGCAGAATGAATGCCACAGCAACCTGGCACAGAAAATTAATTCTGACTTTCAAAATAAGATAACTTACTACACTTTTGTTAAACTGCTTCTTTAATTGAGTACAACCTAACTTTGACTCAGCTTCTTTATTCAGAAAAATACACTTCATTCCACAAGCCAGAATATTTCTAATGCCAGTGATCTCATACAATGTACAAAGAAATTTCTTTCATAGAGATGACAGCCCAGCAGGTAACAAAAGATGTATGTAAATCACAAAAGAGCGAGGAGTACAAACCCAACTGTAGAACTGTTCACGAGAGCATGGCAATAAAAGTTAAAATTTGCTTTCTGTAATGCATAGCCATTACTTTTTCACAAGCCAGTTTTATTAAAGAAATAAAAATAAGCCTAGAATTAAAATAAAATGGGAAAGCTCAGTGAACCCATCTCTGTCCAACAAATCAAATATCAAGCTTAAATTCTTGCAGACAGACAGTCCCTCCACCAAGACCCTCACTCGACCACACACACACCCTACTAGGAATAACGGGTTGCAATAGGCAAATACGGGAGGTCGCTGTTGTAAAATACAGACACCTATATACAAACAGAATATGTCTGCCTCATCTTTCACTTTCAACAGTAAAAAAAGCCAGGGCCAGCATGAAGATCAGCAGACCTGGCTGAGTCGGGAACCACAGACCCTCAAGCACAGTGATTTGTGCAAAAGGTAACAGATCTGACCGGATAACGTCTGTGCCATCACCCAGAGAAAAAGCATACCAGCGGACTCCCAAACCCATCTTTATCTGAAACACGCATTCCAGATCCGGGGGAGGCGGGGGGGGAGGGGGTGAATAAAAGACACCGCTCTGGGGAAGGCGGGCTTCATTTACCGTCCATCCCGGCAGATTACTCAGGAAGCTGGAGAAGGAACAAGCCAGGGAACGCAGTCCTGGGCGGGCACGCCTCCGTACGCCCCTGCACCCCACGTCCGGTACTTCCCGGGGCTGCTCACGCCCTGAGCTGGCCAGAGGCGTGCTAAAATGGCACAAGCAGCGAAGACTCCTTGGCCGTATTCTCAACCCCGAGCCGGCCCCCAGTGAGGGTGACCCACCTAGAGCCTCCCAGAGAGAGGACAGGCAAGTCAAGAAGGACTCTCCTGCGTGGGTCCCTTCCCGCCCCCCCACCGATGACTCTCCAAGGGCCGGCCTGCAAGACTAGGTGTGAGCTGCCCACCCCCGGGGAGGGAGGCGAGAGCCCGGACCCGCGAGAGAGAAAGAGAGAGAGATGAGAGAGGGAACCGGGACGGCGCCCTGCTCCTCCAAAGTGCCGGGGCTTCTGACCCCAAACCGCCTCCGAGGTCCTCAAACTTCACCAACAATCCAAGCACCTGTTCCCTTCACCTCTTCTGCTTCCGATCCCCTCGAATCCTTCCATTTTCCTCCAGTTTTCTCCCGCTCCCTAGACTAACCAAACGCAACTAGTTTCCTAATGCCCCCCCATCGCCCCCATTCTCCCCTCCAATGAGCTCATTCAACCCCCGCCCCAACGAAGCCCCCAGATGTTCGCGGTCGCCCATCCGCAAGTTTCCCTGGGGTACCCTCGGGTCCCCCACAGATTCCCTTCAAGTCTCATCCAAACGCCCAGCCTGCCTTCCTTCCCGCGTCTCCCCACAAGGCGCACACAACACCCCGGCTTCCCCCAGGTGTCCCACATCCTCACCCGAATCAGCGCCCCCAGATTGCGACCTGGGTCCCCTCCGGTAGCCCCGAGGTCGTCGGCCAGCCCGCCCCCACGGCTCCGCACCCCCCAACACCTGCGCCTCGCCCCCGGGCCCGGTGCCCCCCAGTCTCCCTCCCCCCACCCCTACCCTC